GCGTCTCTGTCGTTGGGATCTTCACCGCAAGGGGGGAGGTCCTGCTACCGCCCCCCCACACAGGAGCTGAAAATCCTCCATGGCTGAAAATCCTGCTTAGATTTCAGCATGGGGCATTTTCAGCCAGCCCCCAGAACTGAAAGGACTCTCTCTCGTCTCTGGGGGCTGGCTGAAAACGCCCCAGGACAAAATTCTGCTTGGATTTCAGCACAGAGTTCTTTCAGCCAGTCCCCAGAGATGAGAGGGAGTCCTCTCAGCAAGCGGCAGCAGCTTGTGACCTTCCCTGTTGGCTTCCCCATTGACTTTCTGAGGAAGCCAGCAGGGAAAATTGCAAATGGCGATTACCTGATTCTGAGGCACTTGGCAACCGGTCATAAGTGTGAACCGATTGCCAAGGGCCCAAACTGCAATCACGTGACTGAGGGGGTGCTGCAATGGCCATAACGTCAGGCACAGATTGTAAGTCCCTTCATTCAGCACCATCATTCAGTGAACGGTTGCTGAATGAATGGTCACTAAGCGAGGACTACCTGTAGTCAGAGAGCTGTGAAGGAGAAGGCCTGAAGACTTTGTTATGATCTGTCTCCATTAGCAGAAATAACTGAAAAAGAGCCTGCTCAGATTACCAAGCATTTCCTTAAAAAAATGAACAGGTAGAGTGAAAGATGATTCACCAAACGTGAGAAAGCTTCTCCCCAATCTTAGACTTCTCTTCCTGCCTCCAATGGTTTCACTCACCGTGTTGCTGATGGAGGTGACTTGTACAATCCCACCTTGGCTTCCATTGTAGTAAAGAGGAGCCCCAATTAGAAGGAGATCAGTGTTTCCATCTTCATTTAAGTCCACAGAGGCAAGTTCAGCACCAAAGTAAGAACCCACCTGAAAAGAAGAAAGTACACTCTGTGGGATCACACAACACACAACACCAGATTAAACTAGGGTTGGGGAATCTGTTGGTCCAGCATTTTGTGGGAATCCAGCCACTTTAGCAGGTTATCCTACTGAGACATTTTAGCATGACAATCCTGTTAAGACATCGTATGATTTATTTGTTTGGCCATCTTGGGTTATAAAAACTAGATCTTGCTAGGTTTGCTAGGACTTAAATGGTACTATTGCCAGAAAGTGAATTGCCACTGAATTGAGACTAGATATGAATTTAGACTATGACTATGGAAACCCTATCCTTGATACAAAACAAAACTTTTATGAACTTTTTAATGAACTTTTACAATTCTTCCACCCACCATGTGACACCAAAGGCTGATCTGCCCTCCGTTTCCTGCCCTCCCTTACCTGCTGACCCTGAATATTCCCTATTAAGTGTCCACTCTTGCTTTCAAAGACCAGGACTTGGCCAACGTGCTGGTACCGAGGAGCTCCAGTGATGTAGAATTTCCATTGGCCAAAGCGAGCTAAAGCCACAGAGTAACCTGTCCAGCAAAGAGAATAAATGACCAACGGTTCTTGGATTTGGCAAACTTAGGACTTCTGAGCACAGAATGGAGGAAAATGCCTGCCTCCATTACTCACCCATATACGACTCCTTCAAGCTGCTGTAAGGCATGTTCAGGAATTTGGTCACGGGAGGTTCCCCAAAGGATGCTTCTTCTAACCCCCCAGTCCAGCCATTAGCACCAACAACTCCAGTCACCGCATGTTCCTGAAGAGGAAACCAAATGAACGGGAGATGAAAGAGTGAGAATTCATCTACAGACATCCACTTCTCCAAGTGCCAGAAAAATTCAGGGCAAATGGGAAAGTGCCGGGCATTCCCCACCCCCAAGGAAACTACATGTAGATTTTAATGGCTTTGATTTCTCACTCTCTCCTATGGGTTCAGATCAGCCTACAGCAGGATTTTTAAAAAATGTATATTTCCATTCCCTACGGTAATGGTGAACAAATCATGGGTCTCCTGTGGCCTTCAGTTCCCAAAGCAGGCAGGGCAAAATTTTCAGACACACACACACATTCACACACACCTTTTTTCCCCTTTGGATTTAAAGAAGTTTTATAGGTTAGAATGGGTGCTTAAAACATCCATTGCATGCCTTAAAATCCCAAGTCTCTGCTTTCCAGCCTATTTTCTTTTTAAATATTACTAAGCCTTATATTTGCACAAAATACACCAAATTAGTACTATACATAGTAACTGCTGCAAAGATACTGTATGCCAGTGTTTCTCAAACTTGGCCACTTTAAGATGTGTGGACTTCAACTCCCAGAATTCTCCTGAGGAGAATGGCTGGCTGGGGAATTCTGGGAGTTGAAGTCCACACATCTTAAAGTGGCCAAGTTTGAGAAACACTGCTGTATGCTTTCTAGTGAAAAGGACATACGACTCTCTCTGCAGAAGAATGGTTAATTAAGTTGTGGGAGGATGCTTCAATGTCCAAAATAACTTCATGTCTTAAAAGTAAGTCTGACACAGAATTTAATTCAATTTGGAAATCATTTCTAGGTTATAATTCTATATATGGAGTTGAACCACATCTGAAATTTGGGTTTCTCTTAACATAAATCTTAACATTCTAACTGCATAGGTTCTGTCAAATCAGAATAGATCTCCAGTAGCTTGAACAGAAGTTATTGTAACTTTCAATCTTATTTTATGATTTATACTCTGCTGATTACTGCTGCTGCTATTTATATATTGCTTGGAATTTAACAACGATGTGTGGTTTTCAGAATGATTTATTTAGTCATTTAAAACCAATTAATGACATATTAAAAAGTTGAACCTACTTCTGAGATTCCCTATTTATTCGTTTTTTATTTTTATTTTTCTCCTTTATTCCTTT